CCCCTCCCCAGGCCCCCAACAAAGCTCTGGCCTCTATCCTGGGCAAGAGCAACTTGCGCTTCGCAGGCATGAGCATTTCCGTGAACATTTCTATCGATGGCCTCAACCTCTTGGTGCCCGCCACGCGTCAGGTAAGTGCCTTGTCGCCCCCAGCTCCCACGTTACACCTCAGCCCCTCCTGGAATCCCCGGGAACCCGAGACCGCCCTGGAGTCTGACTGTCACCTAGGTGGAACCAGGAGGATGTAGAAGGACGGGCTCGGGGTGGATGTGTCCACAATGTCCAGAAGGGTGTCCAGGGGCCCTGCTGCAGGCTGGGAGCCAAGGCGACACCACTGCCGGCCAGGTGGTGCTCGGAGTTGCAGGGGCTGGGAGGTGCCAGCGCTCGGGGAGGGGCTCCTGGGACGGACGTGGAAGTTTTGGCTCAGCACCTGTGGGGCCCAGGATGCCTCCCCCAACCCAGGACCACCCGACCCAGTGTCCACAGTGCGAGGTGACCCTGGCTTCCAGTGACAGAGACGAAAGGATAGTGACCGTTTCTTTTTAGTGATAGTGACTGCTTTTGAGAAGCGTTGCGGGGGGCGGAGGAAATTGCAGGGAGGGGCGTGGGAGGTGGTGAGGAGGGGGCTGTCTTGCAGAGGCAGCAGGGGCCACGGGGAGGGCATTGGGGTGTCCCATAGTGAGGCCAGGGACAGTGCAGCCACTGGGATGATTGCCAGCCCAGCCCAGTCCAGCCTGGCCTGAGAGTCATGGCTGCAGCTGAATCCCATGGGGAGAGGTGCCAGCTCGGGATGAACCTGTGAGACAAAACGGGCAGGCCCCGCTGAGGGACTTCATAGTGGTCTGGGACGGCCTGGTCTCAGTGCTGTGCACACCGAGTTTCCCACTTTGGCCAAACTGGTGGTGGATTCTGATGCAGAATTCAAGGGAGAAGTCCAAAGTGGACTTGTAGTGGCCATCAAGGCATAGGGTGTGTGGCAGACGAGCCCCGGTGCTGCAGGAGGACAGTGGATGGACATTCAGCTCCCACGCTGGCCTCCCACCCTCCTGGGCATCTGTCTGGGCAGAGGTGGGACTCGAGACTCATGGAGCAGTGCTACAGGTCTCCTGGTGGACTCTTGGCTGTGCTGTCAGGAAGGAGTCACGGCCCCAGGGCAAGTCTTGGCTTGATGCAGGACTCAACTATGGGGCACAATAAGGAAATTGCCACAGAAGCCACTCGCGGGGAGTGAAACCTCTCTGCAGTTTCTGGTCCCACAAAGTCCCTGGCTGGGGTGAGGGGCAGGGTGGGCAGGAGCCCAGGTGGTGCGCTGGGGACTCCATTGTGTCCCTCCATTGTCTTGGCCGTTATCCTGCAGCAGAACCTTGAGGCGCCCCAGGAGCACTGTGATTGGGACTCAGCATCGCACAGGGTCCCCACAGGGCTGAAGAGGGGATGTTCTGTGGGGAGGACACTGCCCTCCTGGCCTTGTCATGAGGGCATTTGAATGACAGGTGGCAGAGGAGGTGGGGCCATGCAGCTACATGCAAATTAACATGCAAATGAGCCCAGGGACGCTGCTGCTGGTGGTCCTGAGTGTGTGTGTGTGTGTGTTGGGTTATGTCACCATGTCACTGTGTGTCTGCCTGTGTCTTGTGTGCCTGTATCCCCATATCTGTGAGCATCTAGTAGACACATACTTAAGAGTGCTCTCCCGTGGGGGTGGCTCTCTCCTCTGTGGCTCTGCGACCTCCGGAGCAGTCTTGGTTGTCTCGGCTGGCCAAGGCCAGCTGTGGGGGACCCCATCAGGGGACACCTCTGTCCCCACGCCCTGCCCCTCCATGGCCCCTATCCAGCCGTGCCTTTCACTCTGGAAATAGCTCCTGACCGAGTGCACCCCGCTCCTCAGGTCATCGCCAGCCACCACATGCAGTCCATCTCCTTCGCATCGGGCGGTGACACGGTAAGGTGGGGCGGTGGGGGGCCCTCTGGCCTCGGGCCCTCCCACCTTTCCCCAGACCCACGGCCCGTCTCTCTGTGAGGCTGGGGGCCGGGTGCGTCCAGCTGATCTCTGCCCGCGCATCTGTCCCCAGGACATGACGGATTACGTGGCCTACGTCGCCAAGGACCCCATCAACCAGAGAGGTGAGGCCCAGGGGAGGCGGGGCTGGGGCTGGGGCTGGAGCTGGGCTCGGTGGGCAGTGACCTCCCGGGTGCTGCCCCAGCCTGTCACATCCTGGAGTGCTGCGAGGGCCTGGCGCAGAGCGTCATCAGCACCGTGGGGCAAGCCTTCGAGTTGCGCTTCAAGCAGTATCTGCACAGCCCCCCCAAGGCAGTCGTGCCCCCCGAAAGGTAACTGCTGCGTGGGAGGCCTCCTGGCTGGAGTGGCCCCGCACCCCTCACTCGGCTGGAGGGCATCACCCCGGTGGGCCCCACCCTGTCCCATCGCGGTTGCGTGGAGACGAAGGGCAGGGCGCCCCGCCCCTCACTCGGCTGGAGGGCATCACCCCGGTGGGCCCCACCCTGTCCCATCGCGGTTGCGTGGAGACGAAGGGCATGGCCAGTTGTACAGGCATCTGTAGCTGTCACTGTCCTCATTGTCAGACGCGCTCTGTCCTCTGTCCCCGCCCCAGGCTGACCGGGCTCGAGGAGCCGGCCTGGGGGGACGAGGAGGAGGCCGAGGGGCACAACTACTACAACAGCATTCCGGGGAAGGAGCCGCCACCCGGCGGGCTGGTGGACTCCAGGCTGGCCGTCACGCAGCCCTGCACCCTCGCAGCCCTTGGCCAGGTCAGCCTGCGGTCCATGTGGGCCGGGCCGCGGCAGGGGACCTGCTCCCGAGTGCCTCAGTCCTGGGGGTCTTGGCCCCCACCCCCATCTGCTCACCTGCCGCAGTTCACTTGTTCCCAGAGACCCTCACAGGGTGGCGTTGTGTGCCAGATCTCCTCTCCCAGCCACACCCGGGACAGGAACTACGGGGCGTTCACACACGGCTACTTCCGAGGTGGCCAGGGGCCTCCGAGGCTGGGCTTCGGCAGGTCACTTGGAACTCTCCTGGAGAGCCACGCTGGGAAGGGCACGGGGCAGAGGGAACAAAAGCATGCACAAGGCAGAGGCAGGTGACCCCCTTCCTCTGGACAGAGAAGGCCACCGGGAGCACTAGAGGGCTGATGGCCGCTGCTGGTGGCTAGAAAGGCAGGGGCCGGCAAAGGCTCATCTCCAGCGTGGCTGGTGTGGAACAGGGGTGTTGGTCAGCACAGGGCTGCACACATCCAGGGGTCCTTGCCTCTTTTTCAGAGAGCATCTCCCTTGCAAAGGGACACCCGCAGCCTGCAGTGGGACCAGGGCTCTTCCGGCTCAGGTAGGGACGCAATACTCGGCCCGTTCCGCATCCTGTTTTCCCTCTGTGTGGTGTCACCTTGCCTTCAAGGTGGCTGGGGTAAGAATGGTCAGTTCTTTCCCGGATAGATGAGTGTCACTGCCTTTGAAGGTAGATTCTGAATCACAAGGCTCAAAACACCAAGATTATAAACTGGGCATGGTGGTGCACACCTGTAATCCCAGTGCTCAGGAGGCGGAATCAGGATTGTTGTGAATTTGAGGTCACCCTGAGCTACACAGAGAGTTCAAGGACAGCCAGCTTTCACATTGAGCTACATCCCCAGCCCTTTTTATTTTTTAAATTTTTTTTGGTTTTTTGAGACAGGGTCTCACTATGTACTTGAGACAGACCTAGGACTCACTATGTAGCCTAGGCTGGTCTCGAACTCACAGCGATCCTCCTGCCTCAGCCTCCTGAGTGCTGGGATTACAGGCGTGCGCCACCACGCCCGGCAGCCCTTTTTATTTTGAGACAGTGTCTCAATAAGTTGTCCAGGCTAGGATGGAACTTGTGATCCTCCTGCCTCAGCCTTCCAGAACATTGGGATGACAGGCATGTACTCTTGCTGTGGGCTTCTGTTTCAGCGGAAGGACCGAGCTTCCAGCCCCTGAGCACTCACGTGCTGAGTGACTCAGGAAGCGCGTGACAGAGAAGCAACACCGGCTTGCTGCCCACCGTGGGCGCTTTTGTTCTCCCTTAGGCAGTGATGAGTTGGACCCCAGAGACAGCCAGTGTGGGCACTGGCTGCGGTCACTTCCGGGCTGGCCTGTCCCTACGTCCCTTGCTGCTCTCAGCTGTGAGTGTTGTCCTGGTCTGGATGCCTCGGTGCCCCCTCATGGTGCAGAACTGCAGGCCCACCTGGTCCTGTCCTCCAAGGCTGGCACTCTGCTCCCCAAGCAGCTGTGCCAGTGTCTTACCCACCAGGCTGTCTGTGCCGCCTGTTTCCTCGCAGTCTTGCCAGCATCTGTGTTGAGCCTTATTTAGATCCTCACAAATAATCTGGGCATTTTACTGCCAAGCGTTGGTGCCCGTGGTTAAAGAAATCTCCATCACTAGGCACCCACCGGTGCCAAGCTGTGCTTTGGCCCTGGTCTGCTTTCCAGCTGGGACACTGACTGCTCTCCCCTGCCTGTGGGGCCCGCCAGTGACTCCTGCTCCAGTGCCATTGCACGTGCTGTGGTTGCTTCTTGTCAGGCCACTCCTAAGTCTCTGGCCAAGAACTCCTATTGATATGTCAGTGCCCCACCTTCAGTTCCCAGGGATTTCCCCCCCACCTCACCATGTACCCCTTGCAGGATCTTCTCTCCCACTCCAGGATCTGAAGCCAGTTTCTGCCCCCCTGTAGTCCTGCTACTAGCTCAGGAAAGCTTGAGAACTGGGCTGAAGTCCTCTGCCGCTCAATAACCATGAGGGCTGGGGTAGAGTTAGTGTTCATGCAGAAACACAGCTCTTGCGGGATGCTGTTTTTTTGTTTGTTTCTAGTCAGGGTCTCACTGTGTGGTCTGGGCTGTCCTTGAACTCACTGTGTAGCCAAGGCTGCTCTCATGGCAATCTTCCTGCCTCAGCCTCCCAAGTGCTGGGTTTACAGTGTGTTCCGAGACATCCTGTTAACATCCGGTTCTCGCCACTCTTGTGAGGAAGGTCTTACCCTTCCCCTGTGCCTGAGGAGGAAACTGAGGCAAGAAGGTAATCAGCCTGCCCGTCGCTCCAGGGGGCAGTATTGGGATGGGAGCCCAGAAGTGCCCAAGGGTTAGTGACATCACTGCATCCTCAGGCCCTGGGCTGACTTCTGCCTAGGGCTAAGTGCTGAGGACCAAGGCAGTTGGAGGCCCAGCGACCTGATGTTGCTCAGCATGGGGTAAACAGAAGTGTGAGTCAGTTCCCCAGAGCCACCTTGCACCCTTCCGGCCCACAGGGTCTGGGGGCGGCCCAGCAGGTGTGAGGCTCCTGGGGGACGGGGGTCCTGGGAGGCAGAGTGGAGTGGTCAGGACCCGTGGGATCTGAGGGCCTCAGGGAGACCCTCTGGGCTCCTCGTGCTCCACTCGTGGCTTTTGAACCGTGTGAATGCTTTACACATTCACAAATAAAATTAAAGAGAAGAAAGCAAATCTGAAAATAGAGCAGACAGAAGAAATGCCCTAGCGATGCATCACACTGATAACATAATTACAGGGAGAATGTAGTTATTGCTGTTATTTTTCCAATGTGGGGATTTAGCATAAATGTCGGGAGCTGTCTCGGAAACAGACACTCGGGCGGGCGATTGCCGCCCCTGCTCAAGGCCTGCTCTGTCCGTGGTGAACCCACCGTGACGTGGGCCGAGGTTGGGGTGGACCCTGCGGTGTCCAGTCTGGCCCGGGCACCGTCCTCACCCGCTGCCAGCCCCTCCCCAGGCTCCCCAGTGACCCCACTGCCCCCTCTCCTCTGCAGCCCCGTCAGGGGATGGCTACGTGCAGGCGGACGCCCGGGGGCCTCGGGAATACGAGGAGCACCTGTACGTCAACACCCAGGGTCTGGACGCCCTGGAGCCCGAGGACCTGCTGTCCCTGCAGCCCGAGGAGAGCCCCAAGAAGGACCTGTTCGACATGCGTACGTGAGGTCTGGGCAGGGCGGCTGCTGGCCTCCTCCCCGGGCCCTCCAGGCACAGTCTGTGGGGGAGGCTGGACCTGACAGTTCGTGGGGAGGAGCTTGGTCTTCTGTCCGTGGGGCCCTCGTCTGCTGTGGGGTCCTGGTGCTGCTCCCCCATCCCATGGGCAAGGGTGGGCCACACCCCAGCAGTTAGGACCAAGTCCACGGTGGAGCTGTTCCTCCCTGCCTGAGGGTGGCCCGGTCTGAGAGAGGAGGGTCCTCAGCACTGTCCCCCGCTTGCAGCCAGTCTCAGCCTCTTCCTCCTGGACTGTTGTGTGTTGGCTCCCCAGGGCCCCCCAGATGGCTGGAAATTTCTTCATTGAGATGTTTGCAAAGCCCTCTTCCCTTTGCCATCTGTTTCTTCTCCTTCATGCAATAAGGACGTGGGCTGGTAGCTATTGAGCGCTTGCTGTGTACCAGGCATAGGACTCAGGTGGTGTTTGGGGTCTCTGAGGTGGGTGGTCCCCTGGGCCACCTCCGACTGGCCCACCCAGCTAATGTGCTCCACAGCCAGTCCCTGGCTGGAAGGACAGCATGCATGTGCTGATGGCCAGGCCCGTGGAGGTGGGTTCTTGGCCTGACAGGTGTGAGACCCCAGACCCCAGATGGACCAAAGGCAGAAAGGGGAAATTCACACCTGCTGTCACTGGTGGCTGTGGCATTCTGGGGTCCTGCTTCTGGGTGAGAGAGAGTGGTGGGGTCAGGAGGACGGCACACAAAGGAATGTGTGCAAACACAGGAAGAAACTAGATGCTGTCATCCCCGCACACCCTTAGAAAGCCCTAACCCAGAGTCGGGTTCCTGGGACCACAACACACCATGGCAGGAAGCTCAGCAGTTGTGCTGCAAGCCGTTCTGTCAGGCCCACCTCCAGCATCTGTTCTCCCCACAGGACCCTTTGAGGATGCCCTGAGGCTGCACGAGTGTGAGGCGGGCATAGCGGAAGACCAGTGGCCCAGCCCTCCCACCCGCCGGGCCCCCATCGCCCCCACGGAAGAGCAGTTGCGGCAGGAACCCTGGTACCATGGCCGCATGAGCCGCCGAGCGGCTGAGAGGCTGCTGCGGGCTGATGGGGACTTCCTGGTACGAGATAGCGTCACCAACCCTGGCCAGTATGTCCTCACGGGCATGCACGCCGGACAGCCCAAGCACCTGCTGCTGGTGGACCCCGAGGGTGTGGTAAGGGGGCACCAAAGGGGTGGGTGGTTTGGACACAGGGTTGCACTATGTAGTCCGGGTGGGCCTTGAACTTGGGGAGATCCTCCTGCCTCAGCCTCCCAGGTGCTAGGATTGCAGGCGTGTGCCAGGATACTCGGCCTCACCTAGGTAGTTCAATAAGGTTATATGCAGAGGTAGCAGAGTTGGGACTTGGACACATCTTTGTGGAGGCCACCACAGGAGGCTCAGCCCAAGGACCCTAGTGGCTCCAAAGCCCGAATCTGTCCACAGTTCTGGAATTCAGGGCTGGTTCTGTGTTTGAACCCTGGAACCCTCAGCCCCGAGGCTCTGACCTGGCCTTGCCTCCGGGCCTTGGCCTGTTGGAGCTGGGCCACAGGTTCTGGCGGTGAGAGCTGTCCCCCGAGATGGGCGTGGTGCTAACGCCCAGTCTCTGCCCACAGGTGCGGACGAAGGATGTGCTGTTCGAGAGCATCAGCCACCTCATCGACTACCACCTGCAGAACGGGCAGCCCATCATGGCTGCTGAGAGCGAGCTGCATCTGCGTGGTGTGGTTACGCGGGAGCACTGAGCCGATGCCGGGTACAGATGGGTTCCCATCTCGCAGGGGGTGACTCAGGAAGCTGGAGCTGGGATGGAGTGGGCGCCTAGACTGAGGGGCTCCTAGGGGCTGGGACTTCAGATGCAGGCAGCTGGGGCTGGACCAGTGTGGGCCCCACAGGGGGCTGTGGAATTTCCCCATCCAGGCTGGAGGGTCAGGCTGCTCTCCCGTTTCCATGGCAACATGCACTTCCTGCCCTTCCCCCCACCCCCCACTGGGCCGGAGCCGCAGGCAGGGCCATTGCCTGGAGGGGGAGGTCCCCAGGCCGCAGGAGGCATCTGCAGGCACTGGCGTCCCTTTATCCCGAGGAGGTCCCTGAGGATGGCAGTCAAAGCCCTGCATCGAACACTCACTTCAGTGCCCAGAGGGCAAGGCAATGCCTGGGGCACAGCAGGAACTCAGGCTGCCGGCCGCGTGGACAGTCACAGAGGCCAACGTGAAGCCACTGTGGCCCTTCTCGTCGGCCCAAGGTGGAGATGCACGCATTGTCACAGGGTCCCCAGCCTCACCTTCCCTTCTGTGGTACCGGGGATCGAACTCAACACCTTGTGCTTTCTAGGCAGGTGGTGGAACCACTGAGCTAAATCCTGGTCCCTCACCTCCCCTTTCTACCCACAGGTGAAGGTTCTCAGTGGCTCCTGCTCCCAGACACCCCCGTCGTGGCCTTATGGGCGCTCAGCCTTCCCCTCCGGGCCTGGCTGGAACCACAGGACCGCTGCTGTCTGTCCTCCCTCCGCAGGAGCCTTGGCAGCCCTCCCCGCCTGTGCCTGCCGCCCGCACTGAGCTGGTGCTCATACCAAAGACAGAGCCTTCCTCGCCTTCAAAGCAGACACCTGGGAGTGCAACCTTGCCTGGCCTCGCCCCACCGTCCCCATGATGGGCCGAGACCCCATGTCCTCCTCCCTGGCTGGACTCGAGTTATGGAACAGAGTGTGCCCGCCCCAGGGTGCCCACATGGGTCCTGCGCTGGGTAGGCTCCGCTGCCTACCTGAGAAGCCAGGTGCTCACTGTCTTGTTCGGGGAGAACTAAGGTGCTTTGCGGGGGGCGGGTCTCAGGCCAGGGCACATGCTGATGTTACGGTGGGGGGCAGTCCCAGGGCCTCCCCCGGCTGCTCCGGGTCAGGGGACTGGACGATTATGAGGCCCCCTAGCTGCCCCCCAGCTGCAGACTGGACTGGACGCTGGATCTGTTTGTAATTAAACCTGGGTGTGACTATGGCCTGAGCATAGCCCCACTGCACGTGCAGGGGCCTGTGGGGTTGGGGGCTGGTGGAGGCCCCCAGGTAGATCCAAGGAGGGGCTGGGGACTGGAGGAGAGAGCTGTGCTGAACCTGGGGGGGGCAGCCCTCCTCCCAGAAACCCCCAACTCTCTGACTCCTCTTTTATTTCAAGATAAAGCTCATTTCAGTCCTGCTAAAGGTACCCCCACTTCTCCCTAATTTATTTCCCAAATGCTGTGGCCTCTCTCAGATCCCGAGTTGCTAGCAAAGCCCCTGGATAGCTTCTCAAGGTGCCCCAACTCTAGCCGGATGTGATGGTGCACACCTGTCATCCCAGCACTCAGGAGGCTGAGGCAGGAGGATCACAAGCTTGAGACCACTGAACTACGTAGTGAGACCCTGTCTCAAAAAATAAAGCACACAAAACAAAACATAGGCCCGAACTCACCCTGAGTGTGACCGACCATCTCAGCCATGTGCCTCTCCTGTCCTCTCTCAGAAGACCCTGTTTCTCCCAAGTACGTAGCTTTTCCTTAAACACCCCAGCTTCTGTGCTTTAGCGTTTTCCTCATGTTACTTCTGAGCCTCTGTCTCGGGGCGGGGGGACCCCTCTTCACCCCACAGGGGCCCTGACCCTTGACAAATCCCTGCTGGGCCACATCCATGGAGGGCAGAGGTGGCCCGGGTCTAGACCTTGGCGAGGCGCTGTGCCTTCTCTGTAGGGAGTGGGCTCTGCCCTGTATCCTGGAGGGCATCAGCTCAGAGGGTGGGGAGGAAAAACCCTATTCTCTGCCCTGGGCTTGTGAAGCCTTCACAGGCAGAGCCGGAGGGGACTCTGATGCCACGTCTTATTTCAGAGATGTGGAGCCGGAGCGCCACCAGCCTACCCGTTGTTAACTCACCGGGCATCCGTCTGTGCCCACATCCAGCGCTCTAACTATCCACGCATCGTCTAAGCAGCCCCAGCCCCACCCGTGCACATGCAGCCATCACCCTTCTATTCCTTGCACTCACAACCATCGTGCATCCATCCATCACGTACTCATCCACCCACCCACTGGTGTCCCCATCACTCCATTACGATTTCATACAGCCACTCACCATCCTGTAATACGCCTGCACCGTGCACTTGTACTGCCAGGACCTCTGGTGGGCAACAGGGATACAGTGGTGTCTGTGGCAGACCAGCCTCCGTGGAGTTAACCGTCAGGTGACATTGATCAGCCAATCACCACTAGGTGTATAATGACAGCTGTGCAAAGGAAAGGGTGCTGGAACTCAGAGAACCTAGGACGTCTGGAGGGTTTCTCTGTGGAATGACACAGGGGCTGCGATGGGAGGGTGAGTGGGAGAGCCCCAGGGAAGGAGGCAGAGCCCTGCATAGAGGGGATGGCATGTGCAAAGGCCCTGTGGTGTGCAGAGCCTGGCATCTTCACGGAATGGAAGGGTGGACTGGTGTGGGCACAGGGGTAGCCACTGTTGGAGGTAATGCTTGGTACCAGGGTAGCTGCCTGGTCTTTAAGCATGGGGTGATGAGGGCTCATTCTCAGAGGGAAGAGATCCTCAGGCAGGAAGTACAATGTTGATGGTACACAGTAGGGGTACAGGATGGGGCTGGGAGGGTGTGCTCTGGTCCAACCAAAGGAGTGCAGGGAAGGTGTCAGGTCCTAGAGTCTAATGCATTCTACATTCATTCATGCATTCATTCACACATGGTCCTGTGCCCTCTGAGGCCCAGGCTCCACAGCCCCTGTCTTGTTCCCTTTGAAGTCCCTGCCTGCTAGGCCACGTGCTAAGAGCGGCTCAGAGGCCCCTAAGCCCCTGCAACAGGGGAATGGAGGTTCCAGACATGATGGGCTGTCAGTGACTGAATGCAGGCCCAGATGAAGGCCGAGATGCAGAAGCCCTCAGGGTCCCCCAGTCCTTGTGGCCCACCTTTCCCAGGTTCTGAGGGACAAAGGGATGGCACACAGGCCCTTTGCTCTCTGAGCTGGCTGTGCCTCCTGGAGCCTGTGCTAGAGCTTCTGGGGCCACCCTGGGGAAGGGCCAATCTAATGGCCCTGCATGCAGTGGCAGGACTCTCGGACATAGATAACTAGCCGCCACCACCTTGCCACCTGATGTCTGATTCCTGGAAGGCTGCGTGGGCTGCTCTGGAGCTGTCCACTGCACGGCAGGGCAGGTGTTGGGCCTGGGACCCCCACATCTGATAGGGTGTGGGGACAGAGGTGGCAGTGCAGGGTGAGCTGGGTTGGTGGGGTCGGCTCTCGGGTCTCCAAGTGCCACCCTTTGCTTACCCAGAGCAGTATCTGTTACAATTCCCACGGTGGGCATGCCGTGGACTCTGTAGACTCCTGGGAAACTGTGATCCATGGATTTGCTGCTCCCACACTGGGATGTAGGCTCAGAAAAGCTTGGACACTTGTCTGGTGTCACACAGCAGGAAGTGTAGGCATGGGACTCCAGCCCTGGCTGAGCAGCTCCAGGTTAGTGTACACTGAGCTCTGTGCCTCTCCCCAGCTGCCCCTGCCCCTCCCGTCCCGGGGTGCCTCCTGCAGGGCAGAGGTCTGCTCTAGGGTGCCTGTGCACACCTGGCTTGGTCTGGGAACATCGCAGGGACTCTGGACCCTAAAGGGACAGGGACACCAGCCAGCGACTGCTCCGGGCCCAGGCAGTGGGGAAGCGATGCACCACCAAGTGTTCCTCAGCAGGACAGAACAACAGCAAAAAGGCCCCTCGGGGGGCATCACGGCTCGAGCTTGCCTCCATTTCCCCGTCTGGACCACAGCCTTCTCCGGCTCCTGCCTTCCTGACCCATCCCAGGCTGACATTCCAGCGTCTCCACCCAGGCCTCGTCCTAGCTTGGGTCCCCACGTGACTTGAGGACATTCCAGAGACATCGGAGGCTCTCAGTAAAACCTTAATAAATGGCCAGGCGCCTGCGTTGTCTTGCTGGCTTCTCATGCGTCACACCGGATGGGCAAGCGGCTGCCTCGGTTCCAGGAGAGAAACTGAGGCTAGGCCTGAGCTGAGGCTGGCCTGGCAGGTCACCTGGGCAGCTGGCAGGGCCTGTGGCCTGGCCTCTTGGGTTCTGCATCTGAGTGGTGTGAGGAGGTCTCTCCCTCCCTCCGCCGCACGCACACGCACATCTTGGACCGCGGCGCTCTGGGAGGGCGTTAGGGGTCTGCGACCAGGCTCCGGGGTTGTCCTTACCACTGCAGGGACAGCTCACCCTCATCTACAGATGGGGACAGTGCTGGACCTGCTGGGTGGCCCGAGGTGAGTAGGGAAGGCGGTCAGGACTCTGTCAGGGAACAGCAAGGCCGGGGTCTCACAGGAGACACGCCGAGCGCCCCGGGCCGGCTCCCAACG